GTCAAAGGAAGCACTACAAGGGGTCATTAGGATAAGATTTATTTAAGAGAGAAATTTAGGAAAAACATGTTAGAAACCCTTACAGAGTCATTTCGGGTGAAATCTGAAATAGCTTGTAGGTGCTTCCAGTTTATGCAACACAGAAAGATTAATGCTTGATCCCAAGAAATTACCTGGATGTCTAGGTCCCCTTACATAGCCAACAGCAGGAACTAAGCAACCTTACAAAGGACCCCACAAAACCTATGTGCTATAAGTAGTCACCTGGAATCAGTCACAAGAAATTCAGACCAGACACATGCCTGAACTCCTTATCTTCTCTGGAGCCTATTCATCTCTGTGAAGGCCGTATTGGGTGCATGAGGGATTCAGAATCCAGAGAGTTCCAATTAGGGCTCATTCAGAGAGCAAAAGCAGATCTCTGGACATGCTGCCCATCCACAGCTTTAAATTCACAGTGTAATCCCAACCATCACTGTCATTCAGAACCACATCAGTGACAGTGATGCCCAAGTCTTGGTTAGGGACATCTATCAGTGCTGGCATTTGAGAACTTGGCGTGGGAAGGCAGACTCATGCAATGTCCTCAGTATAGTTGAATGTATGGCCAGGAGGATTCTGGGTGGTCTAACAGACTGTTACATTCTACATTCTGCTCTTTATTCGTACTTGGATTCATACAGCTGTAGTTCAGCCTTTCAAACGGTGATGAACTGCAGTGTTTTGAGACTCCTTAAACTACAGGCCTGAAAGATGGACATTGTTTATCGTTGTAACTAGTGGGAATGTGAATCTTGTTCAGTACAGATTGATAAAGTGCTTTTGGCTTTAGATTTCTTTAGCAGCACAAGCAAAGCCTGTGATTGCCAATGTCATTGCCAGTGGGTGCTATACAATTTTTCCCCTTCTTGCAAGCTCGAAAACATTGCAGATAGAGTTTTTTTCCATCTGTGCGGAACCGAGTAAAGACTTCTCTGTCAATCTGAAGACATTTATCCTTCAGCATAGCCAAAAAAGAGAGAGAAAAGAATGTAAGAACTAGAACTCAGTTAGGACAAGGACACTTTTCTGTCAACCCTGCTCCACCGCATCTGATTTCAGCGTTGGTTTTCAATGTTAAGCTTCATCTAATAGCATTGTAAGCACAGTCTTCAAACCTACCATTTCATAATATTCTTATTTACAGAGTAGGGTTATTTTACAGGAATATCTAACACTTCCTGCATTCTAAAACCCAGTAATGTTTTCCATTTTGGTGTACTGTTTTCTGGGGTGCAATTGTGCAGCTGTTGATACTATATAACAGCTGCATTAAAATAGAGAAATTCAACTCTAATGTCAGAATGTGACAACTTCATTGGAATTAAAAAAAAACAACTTCAAACAGGAGGCATGTGATCTTTTAATATCAGTTACTCAGCCCTTGGTTTTGCATGACATTCTGGCAAATCAATGTCCACTGTGTCCTTTATAAATGAATGCATTCAGTACCAAAAGTGAGGCATCCTCTCACAGCAACTTCAGTAATACTAGTTACACTTTCATGAATCCATTTTCACAGCCACAGATAGGGGAGATGCACTTTTGATATAGTTATGACAAAGTGGGCATTATTTTTTCTATTAAAGCAAGTGTTTTTAAAAGCAAGACATCTCTCCAGAAGCCCTATATCAATATTTGAACCACATACCAGGCAACTATGGAAACATAGGCACTGGAACAAATGGAATATACTTAATATGCGTGGAGCCTCCTGGCTACTCCTCTGCTGTATATTCCTTTAGAATGAATCTTTTCTAAGAGGTTTTTAAGCATGATCTTCAAATAAACAGAGGTTCTGATAATTCTTTAACAGAAAATATTTTGAAAGTGTTGAATCCTAAATGTAAAATAGGACATACAGGAACTGTTTATAATTCAAGTATATAACTTGAATAGAAACACTGGCCTGGCAAGCATATATTAGATCACAAAGTCCATTCCTCAGCTGTCACAAAATAGTATGTCATATCTAATTCATAATAGATCAGACTACCTGGGAAAACTAAATGGGATTTTTTTGTTTGGTAGACTATTCCAGAAATTCATTGCTGTGATAGTAATTTTTTTCTCTAATTTTGGAGCTAATTATGGCCATCTGTTCTTGTTCCAACATTTGCTGGACATTTACACATTCTTAATTTCCCTCTTTTGATGCTAATCTCCCGCTATGCTTATAGAGTACAGCCATCCTTGCATGGAATAAAAAGCCAATTCCTTAAATCTCCATCATGAGGCAGCCTCTGTGTCCCCTGTTCATCTTTGTAGCTGTGTAGCTGTGTTCTATGTCTTTTCTAGAGAGGTTAACCTGGACTTTTTTCCCCGCAAGTAAAGTGACCAGAATTGTACATAGAGTTCAGTCTGTGGCACTCATAGGTCCATATTCCTCCCCTGTATCTCTCCTGTTCTTATTCAGCCAAAGTACAGAAGGGGTTCACGATCATCTCATTTTTAAAATATAAATGTTCACAAGGAAAAATACTTGGTTTTAAATTCATTGATTTCATCCTATTTCTATTAATTTAGTTCTTTAGGTCTTCAGTTTCCAAAATTATCCGATTTTCCTTGCAGAGTGCTCTAATACAGCTCTTTCTTGATGATGCCTCTCTCCTTTGTCATATTGACAAATTTCATTCTTTTACTCGCTGTAATCAGTTTTTCTTATCTGCCAATGCTGCACACAGAAAAGATATATCTGTAAAAGTAAAAAAAAAATAATCATGGTACCAGTTCACCACAACAAAGCACAATATGAGTCTCAGTTTGAAAGTTGTATTTTGCAAATGTTGCAACTACTTTTAGAAATAATAAAATATTGTAAGTGGTATCGTATGTACATGAAATAGTTACTGTTTACAGTTCATTATTTCACCTTCACTTGAGAAAAATGTGCCTTGTTCTTATATGGGCTCAGTGGTCTGTGCTCCATGTTATATAACACAGCTCATTTCTGAAGTTAAACACGAGCGTTTGTAACTGCTGTTTGTTTACAGTCATAAAATTTGCATGTGCTTACACAAAACTGGAATTTATATTTAAATGGTTTTCTCTCCCTGACTGCATATGCACAGATTGCTGTAAGTGAGTTTAAAACTAACCCAGATGTGATTTTGCAGCCTGTAGCTGAGTTACATGCGTGAAACCTGCCTGGATATTCAGAGGTGGTCTATGGAAATGCAGCAAACTGTTGTTCTTTGCCACACTGTCCAAAGCAAACATGGTTTAGACTCAGTTAAATTAACTGATACTTTGCTTGCCTTTGTGCTTGAAAAACATTGATATGCCGATGGACTATAGTTTCTCGATACAGAAAATTAATTGCATAATGAAAATTGAATCATCACACAAGGAATTTTTCCTCAACAGAGAGACGGCTTGTTTCCACACTGTGCTACACTGAATGGGTTTCAAGCACACAGATAGCTGTCAGATGTGATTGGTAGGAGTGGGAAGGAGAAGTGAGGAGTTTCCTATGTAGAGAGCAGATTGTTCTTTAGTTTCAAAGAGTGAGATTGGCTCCTGAGAATCAAATAACCGACTGGAGTCTCCATCTCCAACAGGAGGCATACTGGTGGGAGAAGCGGGAGGTTTGCTTTAAGCTGTTTTGTCTTTTCTTTAGGCTAAGCAAACAGGTTTAGCAGCAACGGGGACTCCTGGTCACCCTGAGGTGTAACCTGAGTTCTGAGGACATCTAGTGGTGTCAGCCCACCCCGGGGACTGGGTCTCCACAGCTGGTGGCTTCCTGCTTCCACCTCTGTATTTCAGCCTCTAACCTTTACAGCCTGAAGAAAGAGGAGTAATTGAATCCCACCTTGCATTTTCACCTGATAAATTAACTCCGAAGTTAGGCTACTTTTTCCCTGTTTGTTTTTTTGTTTCTTTTTTTTTTTTTTTTTGGGAAGGAGAAGTGAGGAGTTTCCTATGTAGAGAGCAGATTGTTCTTTAGTTTCAAAGAGTGAGATTGGCTCCTGAGAATCAAATAACCGACTGGAGTCTCCATCTCCAACAGGAGGCATACTGGTGGGAGAAGCGGGAGGTTTGCTTTAAGCTGTTTTGTCTTTTCTTTAGGCTAAGCAAACAGGTTTAGCAGCAACGGGGACTCCTGGTCACCCTGAGGTGTAACCTGAGTTCTGAGGACATCTAGTGGTGTCAGCCCACCCCGGGGACTGGGTCTCCACAGCTGGTGGCTTCCTGCTTCCACCTCTGTATTTCAGCCTCTAACCTTTACAGCCTGAAGAAAGAGGAGTAATTGAATCCCACCTTGCATTTTCACCTGATAAATTAACTCCGAAGTTAGGCTACTTTTTCCCTGTTTTTTTTTTTGTTTTTTTTTTTTTTTTTTGTGTGTGTGTGTGGTTTTTTCTTTCGCTGATTTTGGCATTTCCACTTTACTGCAAAATCAAATACAGTAAAAACAATGAGTTGAATTCTTCAGCTCAGGTGCTCCTGAATTCACCATTGCCAGTCCCAAATATTCAGAAGTCAGGAGATTAGCTCAAAAATCATAAATTTCTAAATAAATTTTGGATATTTTCTATTTGTCTTCCGCTTTCAGGACTTTCAGAGTTCAAATATGTTGAGGTCTTCTTTATATCAGCAGGGATAAAAGTGTATTTTTTGTTGCTAAAAAGCTGATTTCTCAGGTAAATTAATGGGTCTAAAAGTTACAGCTTTAATAAAAGTACCCACTATCCTATGATGCCAAATAAAATATGCAAAATTTGTTAATGTTATGGAATTGTAATCCTAGCACTGCTAACCATTTGAAGACTTTTAGGAAGATGCACTTACTACTCTGAGATTCAGGTTTTCTACTTCTGAAGTGCAACTGTAGGAGTTGCTCCACCTTTTTGAGAAATAACAAGAATGAATTAGCTGCAATTCGAAAAGGAGTTTGATCAAGCCAACGTATTACATGTTAAGCATCGTTATTGACTATTGCATCGTGGCCTATTTTTCAGTGAGCCCTTGATCTGATATTTCCTCCTGAGGAGAAGCAGACATCATGAAGCAGAAATTGACATCATCAGTTCCAATTATTTTGCTGCTTGCTCTGACTGCAGTGGGTCTGACTGGTAAGTACACCACTTCCCAAAATACTTGTTTTTCCTTAAAACGCTTTCTTTAGAAAAGTCTGAGGCTTTAATGGATCTATCCTGACCACCACTGGACCCTGTACATATTTAAATTACTTTCTTCTGAAGTTTTGTGTGGACATTTTGAAAATGGCTTGAGTCCTTTGTTCTTTTTGTAGTATCTATTTAATGATTATGTGGTGGCAATGATGAAAGGCAGTCGCTCCATCCCTATACTCACTCCATGCTTGTCACCTTCTTGGGAATTAGCATCATATGAATGGTAACACTATTAGGGATAATGATATGGAACTTTAATGAAATAAAGGTAAGCTTAGGTTGAAAAGCCACATGCTTTTCATGTCAAAATGTATGTAAATTTATTGTCTATGTTCTTGGTAAAGGTCAATGACAAGTGGTCTTACCACAAAATACTCTTAAATGTATTGGGATTATAAAGGAATATTCAAATAATTAATTAATACATTCAGGTTGCCAATACAAAAAATGCTCCATTCAGCCCCTTGATTCCTTCTTTTTGTTACTTGTCTTACCCATAATTTACCCCAAATATGTGGAAATAGTGGAATTTTGGTTCTGTTGCAGAGATGAAGGTGAAATTTACTTTTAAGATAACCTTAAGATAAAAATTTTGGATCTTTCAGGAAGAAACAAAAGGTTATACTTCCAAACCTTTTAATTTAATCTGGGGATAACTTTACACTTTTTAAGTTTGGGTAAAAATGAAATCTTCCTTTGAAAAAGAGAATTAAAATAATTTTAGGACCTATTTTAGAAGTTTAATGTAAAACTTATTTACTTTTCTGAACATTTTGACCCCTTTTCCAGGCATTTTCCGAATTCAGTCCATAGTTTCAAATAATTTTATTGTCTTCAAAAAAGCATTCCTTGCTGAATTTATCATTCAACAATAACAACAAAAAATATTGTCCAACTCTAATATAACTAGCTGGATTTCTGCACTTCCCTAGGTCAATCATACCCTGGAAAACCTAAGATAATAAGATGTCGTTCTCTAGAAAAGGAAACCTTTTCTTGTTGGTGGAAGCCTGGCTCAGATGGAGGACTTCCTACCAATTACACCCTGTTCTACAGCAAGGACAGGTAACAAGCAGTGCATACATATTCTGTAAGTGATCATGTGATTATTATGACAGAACGAGGGAATTATAACATTAATTTAAAAAGGTGGTTTTATGATTCCATGTTAAACCTCAGATACTCAACAAGGCCTATGTGATGTGAATGGCTTTCCCTTGTTGGAAGGAAACATAACCACCGCCAGTCCCAAACCTTCAGCCTGGCCCTACTGAAACTCATCTGACGTAAAATTGATCTGGTCTAAAGATGTTCTGGGAAAGGTGTAGCTGTCCATTTTTCCAGGAGGCACACAGCTTTTAGCTGAATGGCATGCTTCTCTGAGGAGGGGAGCGTCAGGGCACCACAGGGTACCTCCTCCATCCAGGGTCCATCCCACCACCCCACCCAGGGAGCAGAGCAGGCCAGGGGCAACCCAGCCTTGGTCATCAGGTACCTCCTTGGGGATGGGGACAGGCTGAGGCAGAGCTGAGGCTGGCTCAGCAGGGCCCATGCCTGGCAAGGGCAGGGGAGCTGGAGACCAGCCCTGCTGCGGTGGGCTGAAATGGGGACTTGGACCCCAAGTGGTGCCTGGGAAGGAGCCAGGGAAACTGGGCAGGGGCAATGAGGGCTGGTGGTGCCCTCAAGGGACCTGCTGAGGAGCTTCTCCATTACCCTGTGCAGAAAACCCCCATCTGGAGAAAATCTATAGAGAGTCTTTGCTTCCCCTTTCGGATTTGTCGCCAACCTCATGGTTCCCAAAATGGAGTAAAATCAATGTAGGTATTGCTCTCAAAAGTTACTGTTTTGGTACAGTCTCCCCCATTCTGTTAAAAAATAAAACGTGTATATGTTTAGTAACTTTGCTTAACTTGTCCTTCTTTGTATAACTGCCCTTCCTTCCTGAAAACAAGAGGTCTCAGAACAGGGCCGAGTAAGCAGGGAGGCTCAGAGGTTACATTTCTTTGAGTAAATCCAGTGAAGTTCAGAACAGACAAGGTAAAGCCTCAGATTTCCCTGCTTGAATTAAATAAAAAACAAAACATTTGGTATTAATTGATCAGGAACGATGCAGCCTTTAATGAAGTCACCACACTCAACAATGATCTCAGAACTTTTATTTTATGAAAGTCCAGATGTTTCAACCCCACTCACAACAGAAATTTTAATGACCTTTTTAAGTCATGCCTATCACAGCTCTGAACAGGCCTGCTTAGGAATGGATATGAGTGCTTCTCCATTTCATTAAATCTGCTGAACATCAGGCACTGCCAAGCACTCCAGATCTGGGCCACCGTTGCCTTTCTTTGCTTATTGTCTCTCAGATACAGTCCTCTTGCTCACGTCTTTTCTTTGTGAATGGGGACAAAACTGCCTGGAAACTAGAAGATCTTGGTATTAGTGGTGCATAGGACATAACAGTGGGACTGAAGTGCATCCTTGAACCAGCTCAGCTGGTGCTTTGTGTTTGTGCAGTTCTTCACACCTGGAACAGGCTCTGAGTACATCACCCAGTTCAGCTGTAATTGAGTACAAAACAATCCCTCTTCTAAAAAAGCTGAACACTCATAAAAGGTAATAGGTAAGAGATTATGAAATGTTGAGACACTTGTGATGATGATCATGTTAAAAAAGCAGGTAATTAACATCTTGCTGAAAACAAAACCTTCACTGACATACAAGCCATCAGATTACTTTCCATGGGAAATATGTAAAGAAGATACTAAACAACTTCTCTTCTTTAGTCAGACTGAATATGTTTAATTTGCCTTTTAACTTACTTTTAAGGTAATTTTTTAAAATTACCTTATGATATCTCTGGAAATTTCTTTTTCGATTCTTTTGTTGATATATTCATATGTATGAAGAAGGGGATAAAAGTCTTCATCCTGAACAATTGCAGCAAAAATAGCAATGAAGCATTTATGGTAATAGCATTTGACGCTCACCAAAATGTTTCCCAAAGGCGGGATTATATATAGGTTTAAAGTTAAGCATTTCAAATTTCTTTGCTGAACCTAGTCAATTCCCCCTCTACTCTGCACTGGTGATGCCACAACTGGAATACTGTGTCCAGTTCTGGGCTCCCCAGTTCAAGAGAGACAAGGAACTACTGGAGAGAGTCCAATGTAGGGCAACAAAGATGATTAAGGGATTGGAGCACCTCCCTTATGAGAAAAGGCTCAAAGAGCTGGGGCTCTTTAGCCTGGAGAAGAGAAGACTGAGGGGAGACCTCATGTATGTTTACAAGTTCCTAAAGGGTGGGTTGAAGCATGATGGAGCCAGACTCTTTTCAGTGGTTTCCAGCGATAGGACAAGGGGCAACGGGCACAAGCTGGAACATGGGAAGTTCCACTCAAAAATGAGGAAGAACTTCTTTACGGTGAGGGTGACAGAGCCCTGGAACAGGCTGCCCAGGGAGGTTGTGGAGTCCCCTTCTTTGGAGATTTTCAAGACCTGTCTGGATGCAGCCCTGAGTGATGTGCTCTGGGCACTCCTGCTTTGGCAGGGGAGTTGGACCAGGTGGTCTCTAGAGGTCCCTTCCAACTCTGTTGAATCTGTGAATCTGTGAATTACTAGAATATTATTTGCTTTGCTTCATTTCCTAAACTTTAACTTTTTAAATCATTTTATTTCAGTGAAGAAAATATCTATGAATGTCCAGACTACCGAACGTCAGGTCCCAATTCCTGCTACTTTGATAAAAACCACACTAATCCCCGGACAACGTATAATATCACTGTAGTGGCAACAAATGAGATTGGAAGTAACAGCTCAGATCCTCAGCATGTGGATGTGACCTCCATAGGTAAAAAGGGAAGAGTGAAATGGAAAACAAACTAGTTGGAGGTGTATGTGGTATTTTAATCCCAGGATTAGTGGTGAAAAATTTATTTCCTTGTTATGTGAAACTTGCTATGGAGGAGTGTTTATCTACAGATGATCTAAAATATGCATCTTTAATTTATGTGAAAACCACATTACATCATCATTGTAACTTTGCCTGAAAAATTGGCTCCAGTTTCTAGTTATCTCCAGTATTTCAATTAGACTCCGTGACAATGTTATAGGTTCCTAGCATTGCAGATTATAAAACTTTCAAATATGGTTAAGATACCTAAATTTTCCAAATGTAAACATCTTTCTGGCTGCTGGCATTGCAATCTTGGGTAGTAAAAATAACTGCCTAAGCACTCTACTAGCTCTTTGTACTGTTTCATATTCATAACGCCATTCTGCTTTCTGCATACACGTAGTCTACACATTGTAATGATGAATGTACTTAATCTTTCTAGCTATGAAGTATCTGATATTTTAATTTCACAAGAGTGGCCTAATGAAATTATGATTTGTATTTCCTCAGCCTGACAAATTCAGAGTAAAGTCTAAGGTTTGCTGATACTGTGGTAAATCAGAAGCCAGTTAAACATTATTAGGAAAAAAAGGGGAAAAAAGACTATTACACTATTACCTTACAAAAGTGCTGAATGATCTGAAATTAATGTAATGAAATACAAAGCCATAAAGGCAATGCCTTTTTTGAGAGAAAATTAAATTATTAATGGCAAACTTTTCATTTATACAGTTCAGCCAGATGCTCCTGTGAACCTTTCTCTGGAAACAAAAACATCTGCTAACACAATGTACCTTTGGGCAAAATGGTCTCCACCTCCATTAGATGATGTCAGCTCTAATTCACGTGTATATCATTATGAACTTCGGCTAAAACCTGAGGAAAAGGAAGAGTGGGAGGTAACGGGAAAATATCTTTATTGTATAAATGCTCTTTTTAGTGAGTTCTCTTGCCTGAATTTAACTGGTATTATCAAAGTCTTGGTTTCTGCAAGGCCAAAAAATTAATATAAACAAATCTGATTAAACAAAGGAAAACACTGCAGTGTAGAGACCGTGAAATTCAAGGTATTTGTACAATCATCCTGATGTCATATACTAAAAAAACCCTACTTCATGCACTGATATAATATTTAATTGGAATTTTCTCTAACATGTCTGTTCCCAAGTGTCACAGTAAGAGACTGCTCAGTTCATATAGTTTAAACCAAATTAGGATCAAAGCAGTTTATTGATTGATTAAGAAGTAATTAGGAAGCAATCAGTTAACTATGCAGGTCTAACTAAAGGTCAGTGTCAGCAATATAACAGATAAATCACAATACTGGGCAATTAAAAATGTTAATAGAGACCTACAAATTTATAAACACACTTCCATAACAAGTCCCACAATGCTGCTATATAGAGAAATTCCCCTCTCCCAGGAAGGGTGCGTTACAAGCACCCCCCACCCTCCTGGGAGTACAAACTCCTCTATTTACACCTGCTTCTGCAGGGGACATGGATGCTTTAACTTAACATGAACTCATATCCCCTCTTACAGTTTCCTTATTATTTTTACCCTTCTTCAGCTACTGCTGAAGTTTTCAGTTTCCCCCCACTATTACAAATTGTCATGCTTCTTTAATACTGCTTTTCAAGATGACCCTTTATTTTTCAGAAGTCTCTCAGTTATTCTCTAATTACTATTTAATTGGGCTGACAGTCATCATCATCATCATCCCCTTCAATATGATCAATCGGGGGCAGCCTCCCTCTCAGAAAGGTTAGGATGTCCTTCTCACACACGCTATTTTCATTGACGTTCCCAGCTGTGACCATTTTTCTGGGGGTGGGCCACAGAACTCCCACAGCTGGGAAACCAGGATAAAATGTCGTTCCTGAAGTCATAGTCATGTGGCCACAATGCTACCAAAATTGTTGATGCCGTAATGATGGAGAAAGCTATGTGTCTGGAAAGACTTTTGAAGAGAGATTCGAAAGGCCTGAGGAAAGCATTTAATAATAAGCGCTAAAACTGGCCACTAAGAAGCATTACACAGAGGGTTTATCTGTGAGTTGGACTGACTATAGTGTTCCTTACATTTTGGATCTGATGGAGTACTAACCTATTGGAAGGTTAAATTAAATACGTTCTTGAGTATGAGAATGGCAGTGTCCCTGAAGCAAGTTTTTCTGTTAAGTCACTACCTTTGCTTCCTTGAAATTCACATCTTATGAAGTACCCAACTGAAACCCTTGCCCAGAAGTCAGTGACACAAGCCTACTCCTTTACGGTTTATTTGTTAAAATGGTCCGATTATTTATTAATTTTCCAGTCTATTTTCTTTTCCAGACAATATCTGTTGGAGTGCAGACACAGTACAAAGTGAGTAGGTTACAAGCTGGGGTGAAGTATGTTGTTCAGGTCCGTTGCATGTTAGACCTTGGAGAATGGAGTGAGTGGAGCTCCGAAAGATGCATTCAGATCCCCAACGGTGAGTGAATGATTACTGTTCTGTTAATTGTTTTTAAATTCCAGCTGATTCAGTGTTGTGAAAGGTTCCTAAAAGGCAGCCCTGAAAACCTGGTTCCTCGCGCACAGACTTTGTAGTGCTGAAGGAGCAGCGTTGTGCTTCTTGCTGTACCTTGTGTGTAATTGCATATTTAGTCTTGTTGATTGACTCAGGATCCTTTGCTGAAACTGGCCATGACAAACAGGCTGGGATTTACTAGGAAGTCACTTCTGATACAAGTGTGCCAAAATAATTTATTGTTCCCGTCCGTCTGTTTTAAAATCATGTTGATTTCATCTGTAGCTATAGATATCAGGTAGTGGTACTTGTATAAGAATCACTTGTTCGTTCATTAGTGAATGGACGAAAAGCACTGCCATGTCTAAAAAAGCATAATACTTCCAGCTACTATCACATGGAAGTTATTATCTATGTTTATTGGGTTTGAGTGGACAATTCAAATATACATGACGTCATATCTTGTTGTTAGACACTTTAGCCAGGTTGTCTCAAACCACCTTCTTCTGTCACTGACTGTATTATTCATTATTTGACATGGAGACTGCTGAAGTGCTGTGATATTTTTTAAATGTCCCATTTTCAGATCTGCCTTAGGCAATTAGAAATTTGGAAAATCAATGTCCCTACTGTAAATAGTAGAAAATATGTATTATTGATGTAATAGGACCGTATTTCGCCACAAATATATAACTGCAAAAGTTTCAATCACATCAGTGTTTTGACTAGCATCAGTCTATTCAAAATTAAACATTTTCCTCTACCCTACTCTAAGTGCTTTGCTTGAGTCTATAAAAACATCATCAGGAATCCAAATAATTATAAATTGCTTGGCAGCAATGATGAAAGTAGCCTGACTACTGAGCATAACATTACAAAGAAATAGGAGAGCTGCTTCTTTGTGTCTTTGCAATCAGCTCAGCATAGGTACTTCAGAAGAGAATTACTGGCAAGAACATAAACAAATGGACAAACACTTACATTCTTCATTTTTTTTCCTGTAAAAGCCAAAACAATGACAGCATTTTTTTTGAACATTCAGAAGCGTCTTAAAAACACATTGTTGGAAGGAAAATTGTTTTATGTAGAAAATAGTTTGGATAGCAGAGTGTATATTAAATCATTTTATAGAACCCGCTATGACAGTATTTGAGCACCCCTTACCAAATCTGGGGACAGAGAACATCTACAGCCAGGAAAACAAAACATATTTCCTCAGCACAGCTGCAGTGGGAAAGCATTTTGAATCCACGTCAAAGTAGCAGGCTACTGCTCTAACCACTGAACCATCCTTGCTTTCCTATGCTAACACAAAGCAAAACTTTTTTGTTCCTTGTAGAAAAAGAAATATTTTCCTGTTCTCTGCTTGATATTGTTTTATGAATTCAGACTTGACCAAAAGCATTAAACTTACTAATTAGTTCGCTTCTTTATCTCTTACAGGCGAGTCACCACCTGAAAAGCCGACCATAATAAAATGCCGTTCTCCAGAAAAAGAAACATTTACTTGCTGGTGGAAACCTGGTTCAGATGGAGGTTATCCTACTAACTACACTTTGCTTTACAGCAAAGAAGGGTAATAAGCTGTGTATAATTATTCAGTGTTTTATTGGAATGACCTGGAAAATCAATCCTGATTAGTTTTGCATTTAGGAGATGTCATTTTCCATGGCATATGTTTTTGTCCAAGTGACATATTCTGGAATAGCACAATCAGCAGCATATTTAAGGTTGAAACAGGATCTCTTTATAATATCAAGTTTTTTGAATGTTTGTGAATCCTTCTGCCTTGAAAGATAGACTGCCTTGTAAGTTGCCATGGTGCAGCAACTGCATTGGTATGCAGTACAAATGCACAGTCCTGTAGCTCCTTGGCCATGCAGCCCCAGAAATAAAGCTTTCCAAAATGACCAGATATTAAAATTTGTGTCTTCTGATAATGCTTATTTTGCACAGCTATTCATAGGCCATGAATACCTCCTGGCTTCTGCAGTAATCTTGGTCTTGGAACTTAGACCGTGCTGAACTTTCATTTTAATGGCATATTCAGTATTTTGTTTGGGTGCTGCAAACTATTTTTCATTCACTCAGCACTGCTCAACCTTGTACTGATCTAACTGGAAGCTAAACTCTGGATTTGTCAGCATTAGACAGGTCTTAGTGGAAAAAGACAGATTTTGTCCAGCCAGCTAGGGTGGAGTGTGATGTAGATATCCACAATTTTAACTTTTGTTATTGTGCATCTCAGAGGAGCTGGGAAACAAGCACTACATGCTCAGTTTTCTGTCCTGTCCTTCCCCGCTTTGGGAAGCTTGGGAATGGATTTGGAGGACAGATATAAAGAAGGGGTTTTTGAGGAACGGGTGAGTGAAAGACGAAAATAGATTCTGAAAGTATGTTAATGTAATGGGTGTAGAGATGGGTGTAATGTATGTAATGGGTGTAGAGAGGTGGGGGTCGGTCTCTTTTCTCAAGTCACAGGCGACAGGACTAGTGGAAATTGCCTCAAGTTACACCAGGGTAGGTTCAGGCTGGATATTAGAAAAAATTTTTTCACTGAAAGGGTTATCAGGCATTGGAATGGGCTGCCCAGGGAGGTGGTTGAGGCACCATCCCTGGAGGTGTTCAAAAGACGGGTTGATGTAGTGCTGGGAGGTATGGTTTAGTGATGATGCTCCTTGTTTGTTGTGTGGGTGTCTATTTTTGTCAGTTAGGTTGACGGTTGGACAAGATGGTCTTTAAGGTCCCTTCCAACCTAGAAGATTCTGTGATTCTGTGATTCTGTGATATGCAGAACTCACCTAAGTGTGAAATGAACACTGGAAATACTCAGTTTTTAACAGATAGGTTAGAAGACTTTAGCAATCACTTCTGCTGGTTCTCTGGAGCTTGTAAAGGCTATGTAGTGGACAATGGCATCCAGAAAAGTAAGAACTGCACTCTGCTAGCACACTGCTGTATCTACAACAGCCTAAATTCTTCAGTCTCTCTAGGCTTTATTTTGGGGGGAAAATGTTTACTCCAGTCTCTGGAATTTTCTAGTGACTCATTTGTCTGAAAGCAGTTTTATGATTTTCTTCACATTGCCAGGCATGAAAAACCTGATCTAGCCCAAAATACTGCTGAACAAATAGTAACCGAAGTCAGGTTGTTTAGTCTGTGTAATCTAACTACTGTGATTTGTCCATTTCAGAGAAGAACAAGTTTATGAATGTCCGGATTACAGAACTGCGGGCCCCAATTCATGCTACTTCGATAAAAAGCATACCTCTTTCTGGACTATATACAATATTACTGTAAGGGCAACTAATGAAATGGGAAGTAACATCTCTGATCCTCATTATGTGGATGTGACTTACATAGGTAAGAGATAAGAAGTACTTTCTGTGGCACCAAATAATTCAAAATTATGGATTTCAGCACAAAAATTTTCATTTCAGCTCTTCTCATATGTAGTATTATATCTAAGTTTAAAACTTGTGAGAACAAATAAGATCTTATCTGGTGTAATAATAAATCAATACTCATCCCTTTACCATTTTAATTTCACAGGAAGCCTAAAATGCTAAAAGCTTTAAAACTGCATTCAGATAACCGTTTATTGGTTTTCCATATTTCTTTCAGTCAAAGCCTCAGAAATATTATCCAGCTAAAATCTTTTTCCAGTCCACCAGCAACTGAAATAAAATTGATCTTTTAACTAATAATACTTAAATTTGCTTATCTAAAAGTAGTTTCCAGACCCTAGAAAAGCTGCATTAGTGCTTTTTATACCAGCGTACTGATAATCTCTTTTCTCAGACTTTTTTCCACAGAGTGACTGTGGACAAGTATTTAGTTTTTTTTTCTAAGGGAACGGAACATTATCACCAATAACCATTTTGTTACCAAGGATCTGACTGTCTGGGAACTGGAAAAGGGCTGCTGGATAAAAGGCTTTACGTTTTACCTCCATGCCCTGACAACTTACACGATGAAGCCTTGCATAAGACAGCGGTAAAATGCATACATGACATGCAGAAGCTCTACCTCTGAATTGAGGAAGCTGCAAGCCTGACTGTAGCAGAAACATGTGTTCCATTTTTGTTTATTTTTGAGATATAGACAGGGCTTAAATATTACTGGTTTGCTTTATTTCTAAGTAACCTTACAAATGCATGTAGGGATTATGCTGTTGTGTTTCCTGAATGTAAAAGATGGGGGGAGGGAGAGACAAATTTCATCAGCTATATCTGTGTTTCCAGCATTCCTAAATATATATGGCACTTTGACAAGATTATGGTAAAACACAACTTTCATAACACTGCACTAAAGATCTTAACTTTTGTTGGGGGGAAAAGCAACAATAAATGGTAATGTAAGAAAAAATTATTTCTGGTGATAAATGATTAAGGCATATCTCAATATCATCTCACCGTATTTACTGTTCTTCAGGTTTTTCTTCAAATTTATAAATCCATGCTTACTTTATCAGGAAACTCTTGATCCCTGTATTCCAGCACCAGTTCTAGATTACTAGACACAATGGAGGTGGCAACTCACCACTCACACCATTTTATATTTCTTCCTAAAATGCAAGAAAAAAATCACTTAGACTCTTACTGTCACTTCTTTTATTTTAACAGTGCAGCCAGATCCTCCTGTGAATGTAACTCTGGAATTAAAAAAGCCAATAAATAGAAAACCATATCTGGTCTTGACATGGTCTGCACCCCCACTGGCTGATGTCAGATCTGGTTGGCTTACTCTTGAATACGAGTTGCGACTAAAGCCTGAAGAAGGAGAGGAATGGGAGGTAAGGCTGCTACAAGTTTTTGATAGATGATGTTCTCTGATCAATTTGATTTTGTGTGCCGGGTCCCATGCCTGAATGTAATGAAGCGGGCACACTGAATAGTTCATTATTTTTCAAAAGTGCTTGTGAGATCTACAGTTTCCTACCAAGAATACTGGTATTTCAGATGCTGTTGTGTGATAGCAGGTGATAAAGTACTTATTGGTAATTGTGGCCATTATATATTAATCATATTGGCATTACAGTTTAAATGGCTCATTCTCATTTAGTCAGGTTTCTTTTGTGATAATTTGTTCTTAACCACAAACACTTCTTAGGTAGCAGAAAGCTCAGTGTCGTTATGTAAAATCATTTAAATTTGTACAGATAGCCATTAGGTAATAGTTTTCATACCCACATAATAATAATTTTGTATAGCCAGGACCTGGAATTCAAACAACTGGGTGGCAAACTAAAGACTAAGCTGTTGAAATTTGGCTGCATCCTATTCCTCTCTGCTGCAATACTTCCCAGTTGTCTCTGTGTGTCCTTTCCCACCCCCCTGCTACTGTACTTCCCAGCGTCCTGGCCATTGCAAGATCCACTTTTTACTACCCTGTGCAGTTCCACCAACTCGTTTTCTCTCCGCATTTTCTTCCCCCACCTCTGTTTCTTGCCTCCTTCTCCTCCACTCACCATTTCAGTTCCCACAGTTCCTCCCTATTTGCCATATGTTCACAATGTGTTTCTGCAATAATTTAATTTGCACGGTATATTGGAGCCATATCTCATTCCCGCTGAATTGTCACAAAGCTGAACTCTACAGATAAACCAAATGTACTGTTATTCCATGTCTCCATAACAATTATTAGGAAGCTATTCAAATATTATCTATATTCCTAATTTGGTTATCAAGCCTCAAACCTAGCTGTGATTTTCATAGAAATGTCTGAATTTTATATGCAATTTTATGATTTTTATTTAATTTCCAGACTATTTTTGTTGGACAGCAAACACAATATAAAATGTTCAGTTTAAATCCTGGAAAGAAGTACATCGTACAGATTCACTGCAAACCAGACCACCATGGATCATGGAGTGAATGGAGCTCTGAAAAGTATATACAGATCCCTACTGGTGAGTGGCAAGGCATCCCTTCAGTCATCCTTATTCATGTAGTACTTGCATTAGCTGTTTGTGCCACCCATGCAGGTTGACATCCCATAGTTTCCCTAGGTCACCTAAGAACATCATTGTAACTGAATTCCAATTAGCTTTCCCCTTCATTACTTTTTGAAGTTAAAAAGGAGAATCAATTTCCTTACATATTTAAACCATGTCCTTTCTGTTTATTGCCTCATTTGTTCTCATGATGGTAGTTTTTAATTAAAAGAATACCAGTAACTGCATTGAAACTGCAGTATTGTATTAATTGTATGATATGTATCTGATAATGAAATGACTACAGTATTGGAATAGTTGGATTTGCATCCAATTGCTATAACTGGCTCTGACAAAATTTGACTCTTCATACATTTTTGTATTATTTTTCCAATAGAGTTTATGTCCTGCACAGTGCCATTAATAAAAAATAATTTATTATGAGATATTACAATGGTTCTTGAGATCATCTATGCTAGTAAAGGCCTCTAGATTCAATACCAAATGTCTCAGTTTATACCAGTTTTTAAAATACAGCTAATTTGAGACTTTTTTTGCATGCTGGTTATACATACACTAGATGTATATCCTTAAATAATTATCTTTGTTTCCTAGATTTTAGAGTAAAAGATATGGTTGTGTGGATCATCGTTGGCATCTTGTCCTCTCTTATGTGTTTAATCATGAGCTGGACAATGGTTTTGAAAGGGTACAGGTAAGTCACCAATTTTGCAATTAAATGGAGATGAAAAATCTAAGCAAACTTTTCAAAAATAGACTGCTGACATTTGATTGAATTTCCCATAGGTTTTGTGTTCTCTTATAAACTATAAGTTACAGGTATTTGACTTTCAATTCACAATTGATAAAGAGGTATTTCTGTTTGTTAGAGAAATCAGACTAAATTTGTGAGACATGTCACTGTTAGATCTGATCATCTTGTAAGTATTCAGCATGTAAGTATTCAGCAAACATCATTTGGAGTATCCCTAGTCCTGTAGAAGACACACCTTTTGCCCTGATTTCCTAAAAGAAAAAAGGTTGTAATATGAAGTTGTCTTTCTGACTATCTGTCTGTCAATTCCTCAAATGATTTATTAGAATGCTGGCTAATTTCAATCAAATCTGAAAGAGGAAGGTGTTATCAAAGATTATAACTTTGTACAAGTCTTGCAAAAAATGCTGGCTGAGTAAAAGAAAGAGATAGTAACTGTTGATGGAAAAGTCATCAGAAGTCATTCATCATAAATCCTGGGTGTGGTAGCAGTCAGCTGACAGTCAAGTTTGTACATACAGGCCCACTAGTCCTCCTGAATTTTGCCCCTCATAGCCGTTTCTGGGCCAGTGATGAAGTTACATGGATATTATAGAACCAGAGATTAAGGGACAAAGGACAATAGAAGGAAATTGGCAGTGTTACTTTTCTAGCTGAATAACTTACACTGTTATCTTTCTTATAAAACCATCAAAGGGTAACTTATGAACTGTAACTGGTTTTGTAAATTACTTGTCTTGAGAGGTAGACAGGAAACAGAAGTCCAGCAGGGAGGTATCAGATATGGGAGAAATGTTTAAAATATCAGTCGTATTCTGAGGAAATGGGGAACACATGGAGAGACAGGGCCCATACTTATACCTTGTGTATTTGTTCTGTTTTTTTAGAATGATAGCCTTTATCCTACCACCAGTTCCAGGACCAAAGATAAAAGGCATAGATACACATCTCTTAGAGGTGAGTACCACTGATAACAACAAAAGAATTCACCACTACTTACTTTCCCGAACTATGTACTAGCAAACACAAATTACCTTAATAATGTATAAGCCAGCTTCAATTAATTTAATCAATGTTAAAAATAAGCGACGCTTTCAGGTTGATCGTGTGGAGGGTGTGAGTGAGACAGCGTCTTGCCTTGCACTAGTGGTAGAAAGGCATGTGAGAACAGGGTTGGTGACCACAGCTGTTCCCTGGGACACCACATGAGCCAACGCAAGTGTGATCTTCCTAGTAGTTCTTATGGAAATAGCTCTCCACAGTCTCTTGCCATGCTGAGGAGACAGGACATTGGCTGCTCTACTATTCTCCTCCATTTCCTTCTTGTTAAGCCCGTGAAACCAGTACCTGCCAAAAGCTCCCTAGTTCTCCCATTTAGAAACATGAAATCTGGGATTATGTCTCCCCACTGAGGGAACTCAAGAAATTTTCTTCTGTTTTTCCACTATTTGCTGCAGCAGCAGAAAGCCAGTTTAGGTTACTGTTACTGTTAGTGTTATAACTATTAAATTATCTATATGTTAAATATGTAGGTTGTTCACAATTGTTCTAGTCAGATAAACCCTGAGGTTAACGGTGAAACAATGTATCTTATTTATTGTGCCCTTAGACAGGAAAATCTGAAGAATTATTGAGTGCTCTTGGTTGCCATGGTTTCCCTCCGACATCAGACTGTGAGGAATTACTGATAGAGTATCTGGAGGTAGAGGACAGTGAGGATCAGCAACTCATGCCAAGCCATACCAATGGTCATCCCAGTAAAAATGCAAAAATTATACCCAAGGAAACAGACAGTGACTCAGGCCGGGGGAGCTGTGATAGCCCTTCTCTTCTTTCTGAGAAGTGCAGGGAGTGCCGCACCCTTCCGTCAACACTTCAAACACCAGATGTTACAGATGTTCAAGAAAATAAAGGAAGAAAAAGGAGCTGGGAAACTCAGTGCATAGCTTCAGAACAGAAAATGCTCCTTTTTAACAATGAGAGTACAAAATCGTCCACATGGCCTGCAGCTCAGTTACCTAATAATCAGCCTCCTATGTTTGCCTACCACAGTACTGTGGATGCACATAAGATAACACTGAATACCACAAATGTGAACATTGCACCGGTTTTGGTGGGAAATGAAGAAAAGCATCAGTCACAATTTCCTATCACTGAAACTGTCCACAACGACATGGAAAAGCAGAGAGAGATGGAGAATTTGCATTCCAAAACTGACCAAACCACAGTGCAGGTCAAACAAAACATACCTAATGACAAGTCACCATTTTTGAATCCTAAACTAATGGATTATGTAGAAGTTCACAAAGTCAGACAAGATGAGCCAGCAGTATTACTGAAACATAAAGAAAATAGCGGCAAGACCAAAAAATACACTGTTCCAGGAACCAGCAAAGAATATACCAAGGTCTCAACAGTTGTGGACCATAATATTCTAGTACTAATGCCAGATTCATGCATCCAGCACACATCCGTGTCTCAAGAAGCCTCAACAGAAACGTCTCCGCACCTTCAGCAAGGTCAAGCTGAGAAGAATATGAGCTATTGTCTGACACCTCCAAGCGAGTGCGTAAGAGAGACCAATGGATCAGAGTACATGGACCCATCTTCCTTTATGCCCTCCTTTAAATAACTAGTAGTTAGTACGGTACATACTTAGTGAAACAAAATAGCACATAGCAAATAGTTCCTTAAAAAAGCCTAGCCTCCTATGTGTATTATACAGAGAATAAAAGAAACTGTGGGTTGAGGTAATAATCATGGAAGTAAACTTTGGATCATTAACACATTTCTGACACAGGGAAATGAGGGAATGAATATTATCTGCCATGAAAAATACATTGTAAACTAATTATCCAGCTCTGCAGATTTTCTATTAGTTGATTAAACCTGAGGGAATACTGCAGATTCAACAAACATAAAAATTGTTATGAGTCAGTCAGTACACCATAGTGATCTGAGCAGTTCCTAAATTGGATAAATTGCACAACACCATTCTGATCTACAATTTATTTTATTTTCTTCTGAATGCATTCTGAGACTAGATTAAGTTTCCTTTATGGTTTTTTTTTAATTCTTAAGAAAAAAGGAGCTCTTATATATGACAAATCATATATAAAAGAGAACATATTCAACAAATTACAATAAAATAACAAATTCTTCTAAATATATTTTTGCTTTGTTTCACTGTGATGGAAAACTGCATCCCATTCATATCCTGCTCCAATCAAACCAAACATGAAAAAATAGCAGGACAATATTTGTTATACTGCCTTACTGTATATAATATACAACTCTACTTTAGTACAAGCCCATATGTTTAACAATGTATTTTAAAGGCTATTTTTCTATTACCAAAAAAAAGCAAAATAAATATTTTTTAATTTCCCAGTGCTATTTAGCTACTTCAGAACTTTTATGTTCCCTTCTGCTGAGACAGTGGTAAGAAGTAAAGCTACCATTTCTATACAAAGCATAAAATTAAACTTTATACTAATTAAGAATATGAAGTAATTTTTAAGCTATATTTCTAATATATTGCAGATGTATTACTATTTTAATTGTAAATTATTTATTTCACTTGTTTTTTATCACCTGTAATTATAAAATTAAAATAGAATCTAGGTTTTGAAAGCAAAGCTTCTTTCCCACTGAATTTGTACTCTGATGCCAATCATGAATGGATGGTGTTCTCCTGAGTTCTTAGACATTGCACTTTTCTCTGAGCCTGGAAGGAAAGTTTGAAGCCAGATTTTTCATAATGAACTCAACATTAATGTTGGGATCCAGCCTCCAAAGTCAAAGATACGAGGCATAGAGTCTGAGTCAGAGCTCTACTGAGAGTGGTGGGAATGAGGAAAGGAGCCCCGTGTACTTGGGCTGGCCAGATGTCCCCAGAAGAGCAGTGGGAACAGTGAGGATTTCTCATATCCCACACAACCGAAGGTGAAATCAAAACAATACTGGAATGGCTCTGAACCAACTGTGGTCCTTCCTTCTTGAAACAAAAGTTTAATTTACTCCAAGAAAGTATGACCAAGTGATGACTGGATAAAACTGGGGCAAGTATTTAGCCAGCATCACTAGCTTCAGGGGATATTGGAAAGGTAAGGTAAGAGAAATTGTACTGTATATGTGAAGGAAAGCGTGTTTGCTATCGATGAGCTCTCCTCTAATCTTGTCCTTCCTGGACAGCTTTACATTTCTCCAGCTTTGCATGGTTTTATGCACTGAGCCAGCCTTCCTGCAGTATCAGGTAACCTGCTGCAGAGCTAGCCAAAAGAGAATGTCAGATTTTGAAGGTCCCAGAAGGCCACATCTAGTTGGGCAAATCAGATTCTCACCTTCTACTTTCATGCCATGGAACTGTTGAAGTACAGATCAGTCGAGCCATCTAGCCCTTCCACTGGCAGGACTTTAGAATGTAACTAGTTATCTGTGTGTCTGTAAACGTATGTGTTAGTGTATGCTGTTACACTTAATTTAGGCATCAAATTCAAAGCCTGTGCCCTCTATACTGGCAGTGTTGTGCTGCTTCCAGAGGTTGATCAGAACAGTCTGGATGCTCTGCTGAATGCGTGGGCAGCTATCTTAGATTCTTAATTCAGCCTCTTATCTAACACTTGGAGACATGAAGTGGCTACTCCACAGAGCAGCCATACATAACATTTTATTTAGTTACAGTTAACAGGACAGTTTTACTGTAACATTTGTAGTATCTCTTACAAATTTTCTAAGGATGCTGAAAGTATGGCGAAGAATTATTAATTTATCAGTCGAAACTGGAATGTTTTGCAGCAACTTGTGTGTCTGCGTGTAGGCAAGCTGATAATATACTCCTTCTGACAGTGCTTCATTTACACTTCAGTTTTCCGATAGAACCTATCAGAGCTGATCCGGATCAGACACACTCTCTCTCTTTACACAGCCGTATCTGAGCCAAGCTGGTTTTTTCTACTCCTAATGCTGTGCATAAAGACATGCTGCTACAGGCCTTCTGTGGTGCATCTAGTGATGCATAGAGGCTGTAGAATCTTATCAAGCCACAGCCTAAAGATTTTCCTTATGTAGTGGATTTCTTAGGCATTTCTTTCTGGGCTTCTTAGAGTAAAACACAGGTGACTACATAGACATTGTAAGCTGAAGAAAGCATGGATAAGGTGTCAGTAGCAGGCTGTTGCTGTGTTACTGGTTACTTTGGACCTGAGGCAGACAGACACAACCTTTAGCAGATTGTAAATGTATGATTCATCCTGCCTGACTGTAGGTTTCTATATGTATACCTCCAGTAATCCACACAGAAAGAGAACTGAGTGGAAGAGTTTCTATACTTTGCCATAAATTGGCAAAGCTGCGAAACAGCTGCAGCCTGAATTACATTGTGAGGTATAGATTCTCTCCCACCTTTGCTGATGAGTGTCTCAATATTCCAGATCATCCTGGCTTTCTGTGAAAAGGGAAGTTCAGCCAGAGTGGAAAAGGTGCATTTGCTCGCTACTCTGGGTAGCTAAGCTTTCTGAGGGATTTGCTAGCTAAATACAATTTGAACACAATTTTCATAAGTATATTTCATTCTTTGAGCTGAACAAATGTGCAGGTTAATTATTTTTCCCTTGGATTTGCTTTTATTTTCCAAAATACCTTGCTACTCCCACTCTGGGAGCAACGCTTTCTGAAAGTGGCCTTTGACATCTGAAAGTACATTATGAAGAGAGTAAACTAGTGTTCTGTAAAATCAGAATAACCTTCAGCTAAGTTTTTGGGCCTTTGGATGTTCAAATACTTTTTTGTTTCCAACAATAGCTTTGTCTGCAGCTCTTTAAGGAATAGCTTTTTATTAGGAAATAGATGAGATTTTGCAGCAATTGTACACAGTCGATTGTTGTACAATTATGACACGCCGGTGGGGAATAACAGGCTCTCGACACCTCCTTTGATATACAGAGGGATGAAGTATGTAACAGAATTTACCCCAGGAACAGGGATTAGCCCTCTGGCTCTTGCCCTATTAGTCAAATTTCTTACTTAGAGTAATTATTTGAAAAGTTTGAATGATGTTTTCAATGTCAAATTTATGAATATGTCACTTAGTGTGAATTACTTTTTAGTAGCATAAAAGCCCTAAAAGGAAGCATAAAGGCTCTTCAGAAGTCAAGAACTTTATTAAATTAAAAATATTGAATATATATATTTTTAATTAATTACCTTTCCTTTGGACTCGGACTAATTTTATTAACAGTTTTTCTTCAGTATTGACAAATGCGATTCATAACATTCAATTTTCTAGTTAGACCTTTTTCTTTAGCAGAAACATATTTGATGTACAATTTTAGTGTAATATTCCTGACTTTTAAAGAGATATGACATATTGAAGTGTGACACTTGCTCCCAAAACTCACTGTCCCATAAAGTGCGGGCTTGAAGAATGGTCTGGATCATACTATGTAACTACAAAGATTATTTAATAAAAATGCAGTAAACTGACCTTATATAATACTAGCAAGAGGTTATATGTGTTTATGTAACAAACTGTAAAATGAATATGTAATGATAAATTGATTTATGTTAAAGCAGTGAATGCTGTGGTATATATGTTTATGTGTCTGTGTTTAGATGGCTGGAAAATACACAGTTGCTTTAAATGTCATTTAAGTATTTAAAGTGTAGTAACAGCAGGTGTTCAAAATGAATAAGCAGAATTTTTTTTGTGATTTCTGAAGCATTGTATGTGTGGGGATCACTTCATGAAGCCTGTAAATATATTTCAAAATTTTTCTTTAACTGTAAACAATTTGAAGGTGTTGTGCAAGGATCTGATCCAGTTGGTAGATATTAGACATCTTCTACAAAGCCATAAAGATAAGTGAAATGAAAAAGTGTCATGAGATCAGGCATTATATTCTCAAAGAATTGCTACCTCAGATTATTTTTTTCCTCCCTTTAAAAAGGCAGACAAAAACATTTTACTTTGTGTGTCAAATTGTGAATCATTCTATCAAGATTACAAAAAAATCTTACTTGCTTAAATTATTTTTGTTGACTAACAGCTTCTCATAGAATCATCACTTGTGTTGCACTGGTAGTACCAGGGTGGGATATTTGAGATGTGTAGCAAAACGAAATGTTTTTAATATGAAAAAATAACAGAAATTTCTGTCTTGTAGGGAAAGCCATACTGACCCATTTGGCAGCCAAGCATCAGTCCCTTTCCTGGGCTGAAAATTTTTTTGCCACTGCCTGTGCACCCAGCTCACTAGGACTGAATGTGCTGAGTTGTCAGAGGTGCTCTGATTCTGGATCTCAGCAATGGAACTAAGCATTTATCAATGCCTGCTATTTAGAAAGACCTGTTTTCAGCTGAGTTCCTGAGAAGTAAATCTTCAAGCTCTGTCCCTAAATGATTGACAATGGAGACTAGCTCTACTCCCAATACTAAACCCAGATTCCAGTTCCTGTGGGTGTGGAAAGATGGACCAAATTACATTAATTAGGACAATATTATGGCCCTGCCTTGAAAAACATTTTGAAATAAATCAGGGATTTTTTTCATCTTCCCCGTGTATGTCGAGCAGGAGATTAAAGATAAACGGAATACAGAAATAGATAACATATGGCCATAGAAAAAGAGCTTAATGATGGGAAAGGGGGACATGGTTGCTGCACGTGGCAGAAAGGGAGAGGAATACAGTCACTATAGGATGGTACACAGGTAAATAATTAGAGAAATCAGAGGGGGTAAACATGCATTTTGACTACAACTGGGAAGAAAGGAAGGGACAACAGAAAATGGAAGCCAAAGAATCAAATGTAAGAGCAGACAGGAAAAAATGAGTAGAAGTGAGAAGAGTGACAAATATTTTTGTGGAAAAAAAAAAAAAAGAGAGAAAAAAACGCTTTTATATCAAAGGTCTGAGTATGCACAGCTACCTGACATAGTCCACAAAAGTAGTAAAGCCTTATTAAAGGCTGAAGAGTTGGCAAAATGCTGAAATCAGCTACTGTGGATCAGCTGAGTAGAGTAGATCAGCTTCTACTATGAGTAGAAATAGTCCTATACATGAGAAGTGGTCATTCACTTTCTATCCGTTACACACATTGGTCCCTGGCAAACAGAATACTTGAAGAGCTGGACCCCTCATCTGATCTGTGGCTGCATTTTCTACATTCCTAAGGGAAAAAAACCAAACAAGAGAAATAAAGTGTACCATGCTGTTTTTAAAAGCAACCTTCAATTTTTCAGACAGATCTACAGATGAGGTGTATTTATCCATTTACATTGTCTCACACATTTGCCTATCATTGTTAAGTGTTTTTCTATTTTTTATTTATTAAAGGTAACATAATGACCTAGAAGCTCCAAGAGAAAAAATACTTTGGGGATACTACTACATCATCTCTTGGCATTTCTGGGCGTTGTTTAGTTTGTATCTGTGAAAATGTATCTGTTAACATTTTTCCTTAATTAGAAACTCCCTGTCTTGGTGATAAATTTGGAAAATTACCAAGTCAGGCTTAAAGTACATCTCTCCCGTGTAAGCTAAGTTTTTAAGAGAAGCTATTATATCTGTCAAGAGTAATATAGAAAAATGTCTGAATTAGTTGTGCAGTGCTGATATGCTAAAAGCTGGGCTTATACTCAAGATGACATATTATACTCAGTTAGACATAAGGAAGTATTTTTTTTACATCTTCCTCTTTTATTTTTGGAAGGTTTAATGTCCTGTTCTACTTTGTGATTCTGCTTGTCTTGGAACTTGTCTTTATTTAACATATTTTTTTGGACAATGATGCTTTTGGGTCTGTTTTTGTGAGCTGCTGAGTACCTTCACCTCAATTTGACATCAGTAAAAATTGAAAGATTTTGCTTCAATTCTTACAAAGACTGCAATGGTCAGTTTTACAGACATGTAGCACTGAGTAGAATTTTTACAGGATGCTAGAAATCTTTGTAGAAGTCACTTGTAGAAAATATCCCTTCAGTAGGACAGAAAATTTTACATGTCTTGGAAGAGGCAGATTTTTCTACATACAGAATCCATGCAGAAAGAAAATGATGTCAAATCGTATTTTTTACTATTCATAATGTTGTAGACTACTCCTAATTCTCATCCTTGTCTCCTTCATTCCAAAAGGAAGAGGAAACTACTGCTCAGCTACACTCGGAAGGAGCTCCTGGGCTGCTTTAGTGTTGTTTATTTTTCATCTTAAAAAATATATTTTTTTTTTTATTCCAAGTACAAATACCGTTCATCATCTGGAATAACACAACCAGCAGTTCCATGTATGCACTATATTGTTCAGAGATACTCAGCACTATCTGGTCTTCTGAAATCTTTATATTGTGCTTCATATATTTTTTTAGTCCTGGTGTAAAATGCAGCAATACTGAGGATGCTGGTCTGAAAAAGTACTGCCCAGAAAAAAACACGTCAGCAGTCATTAGCTGATTGTATTTCTGCCATGCTGTTAAGTGCAGGTAGTCGTCTCTGGAAAATCTTTGCCTTTAGTTGTCCCAGCAGGTCTCTCAAAAAAACATATTTATAAATTAAATTGCATGTTCTGAATAATATGCAGAATAAACAATATCCTTTCCAGCAGAGAAACAGATCATCCAATATTTAAAGCAAACTTATTTCCATTTGCAGAAACCATTTCATTGCTAGCCTTGCAATACAAGCTAGGCATTTTTTTCCACAATTTCAGAATTTATATGCAACCTGGAACATCCAAGTTATTGTATTGTCATTACTGTAGCAACAGAGTGACTTGAAGCACAATTATTCTATGAACCAGATCCAAATGTTTTGTAGATTTCTAAAATTTAAGAAATTATAGAAAGTAGATTTCATATGCAGTATGTACATTGGTTGGAAAATACTGGTATGAAAATAGTTGCTCAGGAATTCATTGTTTCTAAGTGTATCTGAAGGAAAATGCTTTAAAATGTATTTTTTAAGTTCTTAATATTAAAAATGCTGGCTTTAAAATCTGTTAGCCTTTTCACTTGTAAGATCAATATTGTCCTGAAGTCTGTAGCTTTCTGATGTACTTTTCAATCTTTTTGTCAATGTAAAATCTCTCTGCAATGGTGTTCACATTTCAGTTAATAAAAGTTCTTGAATAAAATTCATGAATTCTAGCTTTCTTCATGATATATAACAATTCTAGTATATAGTCTATAAAAAGAAAAAGTCTAGTAGGATGGGCTCCTGCTGTGGGGCATGTGGAAGGCTCTGTGAAAGCTGTGCTTAACCCACTTCACATGCACCAAGCAATTGAACCAGTTAACACAGATGGCTCATGCAACAGGTCACAACTTTTATACTCATGCTCCTTTACGACACTTTGTGCTGATGAAAATTATCTTTGTCACTGAAATTCAGGGATTTGAAATTAGCAGAAGTAACGTCTGATTGAGAAAGGCTAAGCATTTGGGAGTCCTAATGTTGTCCCGAAATGAGGGTTCTTCACCCAGTGTGCAAGAGCCAACACACTGAGTTGAGGCACTGGTTTTTATTTCAATTCTGCAAAACTGTGTGCCGGGCTCCTAACAGCAGCCAGCATACTTCACCTTTCAAACTGCACAGTGATTACAACAATAAAATACAGCTGATTGGTCAATAATGATTCATTCAGCACGCCTAACTATACATGTGCATCTAAGTTCATGTTTAATACATTTAGGGAGGTTACCTGATTAGCATGCTTATTATTCACAAAGGGGTGTGTATTTTAGTGTTATAATTACCCAAAGTTAGTTTGGGATACACTCTTGGCTCCAATTTGGTTCACAAGTTACAATTTTTGTCATCTTCTGCCTAAGTCAGCAGCTGCAAAGGAACACGTTAGACACATTGTTCTGTTTCAAATACTACTCAAGGTTAGGTACATTCCTTGATGCCTCAACCGTGTCCCAACTGAAACTTCTTGATAAACTTTTAACTTTGTTCTTTAGACATCACTAAGGTATGTAAGCACTGCCCTGTTAGTAGAAAGCACAAATCTCTGACCCATTGCAGCAAGATCAGGCAGCTTTTCTGCAAAAGTGGGACTGCCTCTCAGGGTAGGTGAAGATAGTACTCAATCTTCTGCCTTAGGAGCATCCAGGGTCGCCAAAATCATTGTGAAATATCTTTCACTGGCAATTGTGTCTAGTTACAGTGAATGTTAGTTATCACTCCATGGAACGCCACCACAAATCTGATTTTTTTTAGTGTTGTGGGGCTTTGGCAGGCAAGAGAGAGCTTCCTGCTTTTATGCAGAATCACAGAATGGTAAGGAAAGGTTGGAAAGGACCTTTGGAGATCATCTAGTCCAACTCCCACTGCCAAATCTAGGGCAAGCTAGGCTACATAGGAATGCACCCAGGTGGATTTTGAGTATCACCAAAGAAGGAGACTCCTCAACCTCTCCGGGCAGCCAGTTCCAGTGCTCTGGCACCCTCAAAGTAAAGAAGTTTCTCCTCCTTTTGAGATGGAATTTCCCATGTTCCAGCTTGTGCCTGTTGTCTCTTGTCCTGTTGCTGGGCACCACTGAAAAGTCTGATCCCACCCTCTTGACACCCACCCACATGTTTATAAGCATTGGTAAGATCCCCTCTCAATCTTTTCCAGGCTAAGCAGACCCAGGACCCTCAGCTTTTCCTCAGAAGAGAGATACTCCATTCCCTTGATCATCTTCGTAGCCCTCCGCTGGACTCTCTCCAGTGGTTCCCTGTCCTTCTTAAACTGGGGGGCACAGAACTGGACACAGCACTCCAGATGGGGCCTCACCAGGGCAGAATAGAGGGGGAGGATCACCTCCTTTGACCAGCTGGCCATGCTCTTTTTAGTGCACCCCAGGAGGCCATAGGCCTTCTTGCCCACACGGGCACTTTGCTGGCTCGCAGTCAACTGGCTGTCCACGAGGACTGCACGGTCCCTCTCCACACAGCGGCTTTCCCGGCCGGTCCGCTCCTCACCTGTGCCGGTGCCCGGGGTTATTCCCCCATAAGAGCAGGCCGCCGGTCCCCTGCTGCCGGCC